CACTTCCCATTATATTATTCAAAGCAGCCAACTGCAAATGTTTCCTCAAAGAAACTGTGCCATTTTCCAACTGCTCATTTACTATGTCACGTACCATAACGGAGCAGTCAAGTTGACGGCCCGTTTCATGCGCCGCAATTCGCTTCGGCGCAAAGAGATGCGAAGAAGCGATACGGCGTAAGAGACGCCAGTAAGTTCCGTTAGGAGCAAATCCAATGGCTCGGCTAAACATAAGGCTCTTAGCGGATTGTTTANTTCATGCGCCGCAATTCGCTTTGGTGCAAAGAGATGCGACGAAGCAATACGGCGCAGCAAACGCCAATAAGTTCCATTAGGAGCGAACCCGATGGCTCGGCTAAACATAAGGCTCTTAGCGGATTGTTTAATGGGGCGATCAGCAAACTGAGGAGAAGTTAGAATCTCTTTAGCTATTTGAGGATCGGAGGACACAACTACAGGGGTAGAACCAAGGCTAAAAGCCATAAGCTGTTTAGCTTTTTGAGTCCAAGCCGCGGAGGCTAAAGAGCGATGAGCCAAGCCGCGGCTTAGAGTGAAAAGGCTACCGATAATTGGAAATCCACGGGGTCCAGGAATTGGGATTTTTCCACTATGGTTACGACCATTTTTCCAAGCTACACCCCCGGGGGAACAAGCCCAGGTGATTAGAGTGATTGACAGAAAGGCTAAAACAATGGAAATGATAACATATTCGTCAAGAAAAGTTTTCGAACCAAGAAATGCTGGTAGGGTAAACACCCACCAGTTGGAATCCTTTGTCATCATAACCAAATCCATGAAACCAAAGGAAATGAAAGATTTTAGACAGAGATACTAAGAGAGAGGGGAAGAGACTCAAGAGAAAGAGAGAAAGATAGAGGGAGAGGAGAGATGGAATTTTTGATGTTTTAAAATGAAAAGTTTACTGAGTTTAAATAGGCTGGGAATTGGAAGGAGGCAATCAATGAAAATTGAGTCAATTTCATTGACATACCATAAAATATTTAGTAGTCATATTAATAAAAGTTTTAGTAATCTTATTCATCAAAATCTTGTGATAAATCATAGGTAGAAAGCATTTCTTTTGAACATCTTACCATAAAATATACTATATGGTAACCTTATTACATTATTATCTTGCTATAAAAGAAAATTCCAGGACTTTTGGTTTGGATTTTGTTTTCCAAGTCAAAAGATATTAATGGAACTTCCATATATAATAATGATAAGAGACTATAACTGTTATAGAAAACTACTGAAATACTAAAGATAAATTAGGGAAAATAATTAATATATTATCATGTTTAGCTAAATATCTAGGATTTTATCACATCACCTTTCTTAAAATTAGAATTATGCATACATAAATGATCTACAAGTATGCGCACGGCACCTTGCGGCGCTACTTGCACGAGGCCTCGCCGTTCCGTTGCCAAAAGCCATCAGCTGTCACGAGCGATGTCGCCTCCCGATTTTGCCCCCAACAACCGATGGCATTCGGCACGTACTGAGCTTAGCCCCATACGGACGGCACTTGCGGAGTTAGACCATAGACCATTTCGTGTAGAGCCAAAAGAAATTTCTCGCAGACTCAGCTTCTCCGACGTGGCTTTTTTTGTATATTTTGGTGTCAATATTGAAAATAATAATACGTATGAACAAAATTCAAAGGGAAGGAAAGCCGTTCATGTACTCTACATATTTCTCATTGTTCGCACTCTTGACGTTATTTCTTCATTTTTCTTTTGATTTTCCAATTTATTGTGTTCACTCACTCAATGATTAAATAACGAAGAAAATGTTTTGAACATTAAATAAGAGTGTATGTCAATATTTTCGAAGTGGTACGAAGAAGCACAGGTGGTTTGGAGTCTCTACAAAAATAAAAATATTTCAAGATGAATAAAGAAAGACAATTTTTTTTAAAAAGATTTCAGATCAATTTAGAAAGTACTACTACTCTAATAAGGAAGCTAAATACGTTTTCTGTACCCAAAAAAGAAAAGAAGCCACGAACTTTTTTCTAGGGTAAAGAGCATCAATTGTGCACTTGTGCTTAAACTTTTACTAATTTAAAAATGTTTAACTCACTAGTCTTAGAATACACATTACATGTATATCTCATTTCAAGAATTACCAAATTTTTATTATCATTTTGCGTTTGAGATATACAATAAAATTTCTTTAAAAAGTGTACAACCTAGTTGTCGATCCTACTTAGTTAACTCAGTAAAAGAAAAAGTTATGCCCATAGAAGTCCTCAATCGTCCCTCTCAAAATATTCAACTTAAAATTATTTTATTACTTCAATTTTACAATATATTATGCTTGTTTTTTAATGTTTTCAAGAACACATAATCCTAGATCTAGAGTTGATGGCTTAAAATTTTTAGTACTGGCCTCATTGTATTTTGTAAATTATAAGTTCAAAAATTTATATTACATGTCAAAATATTTGAATTCGGTTGAACGCATGCATAGAACAAAGGTCCTACCTAACTCTTTGCCATTTCTTGTTAACTTTCTAGGAGATGAATTATGGGCAGAGCTAACAATCTGTTTGTAACGACCCGACCGGTCGTATTAAGTATTTTAGCCTCGTTCTTCTATTTATTGCCTCTTCTATATTGTATTATGGTTATGTGACTTGCAGAGGCATTTGGTTTTAGTTTCAGGTGAGTTTTGGAGTGAAATCAGACACTTAGTCCCTAAGTTGGAAGTTTAAGCTGAAAGAGTTGACCGTAGTTTGACTGTTGTGTAAACGACTCCGAAATGAAGTTTTGGTTGTTCCAATAGCTCTATGGTAATTTTGGACTTAGGAGCGTGCCCGGATTTTGATTTAAAGATCCGTAGGTCGTTTCGACTTGAATTGGCGAAAGTTAGGAAGTTGAAGATTTGGAAGGTTGAGAAGTTTGACCGAGAGTTGACTTTATTGATATCAGTGTCGGATTCAGATTTCGGAAGTTGGAATAGGTCTGTCATGTCATTTAGGACTTGTGTGCAAAATTTGAGGTATATCAGAGTTATTTTGATAGGATTCGACATTAGTTTTGGAAGTCGGATGTTCATAGTTTCAATAGGGTTGATTTGGGTTGCGATTCGTAGAATTGATATTGTTTGATGTGATTTTTGGTATCGAGTAGGTCCGTTATGTGTTTTGAAACTTGTTGCTATATTCGGACGGGGTCCCGGGAGCCCCGGGTGTGATTCATATTGAATCCAGAACTATTTTCGACTTGGGTGATTGTTGAACCACTATTGTTCTGGTATCATCACACCTGCGGTGGGAATGGCCGCAGATGCAGACTCACTGGTGCGAGTGGAGAAGCGCAGAAGCAGAAAGGGGATGCCCAGGCTTGGGTTCGAAGGTGCGGACACCTGGGCGGGAATGCGCATCCGCAAGTGCTTGTTTTCTTCTGCAGAAGTGGAACTGTGAGGGGCTTGTGAAGGACCGCATGTGCGATCCATTTTCTGCAGAAGCGAGCAATGGTCCGCAGAAGCGAAGGGAGCTGGCCAAAGTAAGGACCGCGCCTGCGATGGATATTTCCGCAGGTGCGGCGTCGCAGGTGACTGTATGCCAGCAGATGCGAAGATTGCTGGGCAGAAAAGGCTAGAGACGAGGGTTTTATCTCATTTTCATCTTTTGGACCTAGAAAGCTCGGTTTATAGCGTTGTTGTAACGACTCGGCCGGTCATTTTGAGAGTAATAGCCCCGATCCCCTATTTACTACTTTTTCCGTATCATTTTCTATTTATGTGACTTGTCGGGAGGTTCCATTTTCGGTTTCGGAGTGTTTTGGAATATTTAGTCCCTAAAATGGAAGCTTAAGTTCTAGGATTTTTTACCGTAGTTAGAACTGTTTGAAGACGACTCCAGAATGGAGTTCCGTTGATTTCGTTAGCTCCGTTGGGTAGTTTTGGACTTGGGAGCGTGTCCGGAATGTAAATTGGAGGTTTGTAGCTGATTTAGGTTTGAAATGGCAAAAATTAAATTTTTAGGAAGTTTGACCGAAAGTGGACTTTTTGATATCGGGGTCGGATTCGAATTCCGATTTCGGAAGTTGGAGTAGGTCCGTAATGTCGAGTATGGCTTGTGTACAAAATTTGAGGTCAACCGGACGTGGTTTAATAGGTTTCGGCATCGGTTGTAGAAGTTTAAAATTTCAAAGTTTATTAAGTTTGAATTGGAGGGTGATTTATATTTTTATCACTGTTTGATGTGATTTGAGGGCTCGACTAAGTTCGTATGGTGTTTTAGGACTTATTGGTATGTTTGGTTCAGGCCCCAGGGGCTTTGGATGCTTAACGGATCAAAATTTGGACTTGTATAGCTGCTGCAGTTTTTCAACTTCTGGTGTCATCGCACATGCGGTGGGGTTGGCCGCAAGTGCGGACACGCATGTGCGAATGGAGGATCGCATAGGCGGATTTGGGCAGCCCAAGATGGGTTCACAGGTGCGGAAAGATTTACGCAGAAGCAGCCTCACTTCTGCGGTGGGAAGGTGCGCAAGAGTGATGAGGTCACAGGTGCGGCTCCTTGGTCGCAGGAGCCCATCTGCAGGTGCGGCTCTTCTCTCGTAGATGCGGACCCAGGGGACTTAAGTCAAGTCTGCACCTGCGATGGAATTTCCTTAGGTGCGGCGTCGCATGTGCGACTGGAAGCCCGCAGGAGCAAAATCGATGGGCAGAAAAGGCTAAGTTTGAGGGTTTTATTCCATTTTCAATTTTGGGTCTTTGAGAGCTCGAATTGAGGCGATAATTCAAGGGTTTTCATATAAAGCTATTGGGTAACGATTCCTAACTCATTTATGGTTATACTCTACTAATCTATAGTTGAATTCATCATTTAATTAAGGAATTTGGTTGAGAAATTTTGAAAAAAGTTGGAAAGTTCTTCAAATAGATTTTTGAGTTTTCATTCGGATTTTGATATCGAATTTGGATAATTTTGGTACGAGTGAATTCGTGGTTGATTGGGTGTTCGTATTTTATGACTTTTACCCTATTTTGAGATGTGGGCCCGGGTCGACATTTTAGGACGAATTTTGAAAGTTTTGTGAAAGTCTTGATTTAATTATTTAGATTAGTCTATTATAGTTGTATTTATGATATGTAATTATTTTTTGCTAGATTTGGGTCATTCGGAGTCGGATAATCGAGGAAAGGGCATTCTTACTGATTGATTGAGTTTGGTTCGAGGTAAGTGGCTTGACTAACCTTGTATGGGGGAAATCACCATAGGATTTGGTACTGTTGTGATATACGAGCGCTGTGTACGTGAGGTGACGAGTGCATACACTAACTATTTGTTGTAAAACACGACTTTTACTGAGTAGCATCATGCGTACACAGACTCTTCTTAATTGAGTTATAACAGCATGTGTAGTTATCCTATGTAGCCTAATATCGCATGTCTACGTGCCTTAACTGCGTATTTGAACTCTATGCAGCATGCCTAGTTGATTTCATGTCCTTCCTTGATCTTTATCAATCTTAACTGTATAATTCTTGCTGTTAACTGTTGTATTTATCGGTTGAGCTGAGTGTTTACTTTTGAAACTATGAGGCGGTACCTCGGGAGTTCTCCCTGCA